TGTGATTATTTCCTTTTGTCACGACAGAGATTCTTGAATAGAAATTCGATAAAGGATTATTAAAATAAAATTGTAAATTTTTTCATTCAACTTTAAGTACAAGTCTTGTTGTCTAAACAAATAAACATAATTCGTTTTATATTTTCTTTTTTACGTCGCAACAAAGCAGAAAGATGGCAAATTTTTTCATCCGGCTTCTCGACATTTCTACGCAATCAGTTCTCATTGTTCTGAATTTTTGCTGGAACAGGAATGCGCGGAAGCAATCGAACTCGCCGACGAGGCTCTGAAAGTTCGCCCAGTATCGTACGAAGCATTTTACGCGAGGGCAAAGGCACGGGTCGACTCGGATCTGTTGGAGGACGCGTTGTCGGACGTTCAAGAGGCATTGCAGATCGCACCGCCGCAAAATCGACAGGACCGACGTGTTCTTACCGCTTTGAGAGAAGAGATAGTCTCCAGATTAGACGGCACAGGGACCAGCAAAGGATCGATCGATCCTACCAGCAGATCTCGTCTTCGAGCCTCAGTCGATACTCTCACAGAACTGTAACTATTGTTACTGTTTCTGTCGTAGATGACTATCGATTCGTTTAAAACAAATACTCCTTTTTATTAGAAGAACGACCATAGTGTAAACTCAAGTAGCTTTGCACGCGTATTTAAGTTACGAGTTGATTTTTCCTTTAGCTAAACTCGCGATTTTGGATTTTTATGCATTTGTAGGAAATTTTTAGATTAAGAAAAGAAAAAAAAAATAATTGTACGCAATGCACGTAACGTGAAAGAAGTATGTGAATGTCTCCTATAATATTTTGTCTATCGAGATTCTGTTTCTTTAATTACATTCTCGAAAGTAAGAATTTGCATAAAAATCCGCAGTCTGATGATGACCGCTGTGGTTGCTTCCGAAATATTTGGAAGCAACAAGATAATTGAAGTATCTCGATCTTTTATCTTTCTTTTGTTTTTAATTTAACGACTCGTTGCGTACGTTGTACGTACTCGAAGAAATATTCCTTCACTTCGCGTTTCCTTGCTTAATTTTGAAAATCAACAAGGATCTATAAAATTTTCTACTTTTTTTGTTTTTTTTTTTTCTTTCTTCTCCCTGTGCAATTGTATTGCATGATCGTGTTGACGTTTCTTCGTACGATGTTCAAATTCGATTTTGAATCGAACGCAGAGTTTAATATATACACATTTTTTTACATATATATATATATATA